CTTGGCAAGATAAATCTCCCCAGATTTATCCAACGGCTGTGAACATTTAAAACTAACATGAATCTCTATAAATGTCCAGTTTTAGGGTTTTACACAGAATTAAACTAAACAACATGAATCAAAACATGCACTTTATTTATTTCCACTAAATAACAAGTACATCAAATCAGATTGAAGCTAAGGGCATACATAAACTGTCTAACAAAAAGGTTGCAAGTTACCTATTAAAAATACAAACTCCTGATGAAGTCCCTACTTTTATGGGGTCACCGATGCCATAGGGCTGGATATACCAAAGCATACCCCTGATGATGTCTCTGAACAGCCCATAAGATTCCCAGGGGGACAACGCATTGAGCTTGATGGCTCCTTTTGTTTAGGTGTGGAGAGAGTAGGGACCACTGTCTAGCAATCAGTGCCTGCTGCTCAATGATGAAATCACATGGGACCACCCTCATTCAGCTGTTTCATAGGAATACAAGGGGAAATAGAGCAAGAACAGCCCTGCTGACGTGGATCAGTTTATTTTTAGTATATAGTAATAGATACTAGTCTATCCTCCACCCCAAAACCCACTGCCTAGCAATCCGATGTTTGGTGATTGATGATAAAACCATGTGGGACCACCCTTGTCCTACTGTTTGGTTGGAGAATATGCTAATATCTAAGTAATTTTTATTACTTTTCTAACTTGATGTATATCCTTTATGTTCAACTTTTTCCTATTATTGGTTAATCTGGAACTTCTCTTGGATGTTATTCTTTTCTTCTGTCAACTTGGATCATGTTCTATTATACACTAAATTGCTCATTACTTTTCTAACTTTGTTGCATATTCATAATCAACTCAGTTCATTGGTAAGTATTCTAACCATTTTCACCATGATATCTTAAAATATTTTTGACATAGAAATAGAATAATGGAGAGATGTCTGGCACCTTGTCACAGTAATTCTTCTAATTGTTTCTACTTGATGCCTCAACCTGCATCAAGTACTGTCAAATTGAACATCCTTGGTCAATGAATGGTGCGACAGACATTCTGTACACTACAAATAGTGACTCGATATCTTTCTGTATCTTTCATCGATGGAATTAATTAGTTTACTCCATTACTGATTCATGATCTTCCAGGAGCTCATAACCCTAGAGATGGTGAAGGTGGGAATCACCAAACAACAGAATGTGATGGCCTTGCCCTGACAAAGAAGGCACAGCTGAATGATGTCAATCAACTCAAGAAGCAGAAGATGAAAGAAAACAACTTGGGTATGTTAGTTTGATGTAATATTGTATACTGAATTTTAGGAACCTCCACAGTTACCTCTGCTTGTTCTAAGTGCACTGGATTGTATTGGCACTATGGATGATGTTAACTACTGTTCTTCCATTTTACCAAAACTACATTATTTGCTTTTCTTTTCAAGAAATCCATAAGTTGTACAACACCAATAAATTTTAGTTGTGGTTCTTCAGGCGTTGAAGATGGGCTTCATCAGACCATTGAGTACATTGGCCTCGGTTGTAAAAGAAAGACATGGCTGGAAGAATTCAACTTGCTTAAGAAGAAAAAGTTAAATGAAACCAATTCAGGTACACTAATTTTAGTCTATACTCATTTAAAACATCACGAAATGTTCTAACTATTAAGTGACTGTGTATTGGGGGGAGGGGATTTGCAAGCATTTAGAGTCCGTGCTCTTTGAGGCCATCAAAAGAGTTTTTGACAATCATTGGCACTGAATAGAATGCAATATCAAATGCCTATCGATGTAGCGTGATTTGACTACTCCTTGCTGGAGGATGATCTGGCTTCCAATCGAGCAACAAACTAGATGAATCTGCAAGACAGCGGATCAGAGAACCTGGGGTGGCTAATCCGGCGAGGTTGCTCCGATGCTTAAGTCAGTAAACGGTGATGCGAGCTGAAAGCTTTGAGAGCTAGAGAGTTAGAAAGTAGAAAAATCATGTGTACCTTGTATCATTGGGTTTGGTGCTTTTATATAGTTGAGCCCTTGCGGGTTTTGCGGATTGGTTCCAGGATCTTTGCCCTGATGGGATCCGTTTTCGCTTTAATTGGGGGGTAATGCATCAATTAATAAAGATTATCGATTCCGCTCGATCCAGGCGGGGAGAAGATTAGGCATGCTGTTACGTGACGTGATCCCGTGAGGTTCGGAGTCTGTTGGAGAGACTTCTGGGATCGTTACGTGGTGGTCCGGGTCGGTAGCCCCGAGTTGATACTTCAGTCTTTTAGTTCCGAACTGGATTGAATGTCGAGGTGACCCTAGCTCTCTTTTTCGATTTCGCATCTATCCATTATGTCTAGCTTTAGTTTCGATAGCCTCTTAGATGGGAGCGGTGAATTCGCTGGAGTCGAGGTGGGTACATCGGCTCAGGCCGTAGATCTTTGTCCTACCAGGGAGGTTACTTCGGGTCAGGAAGCGGTCCATGGTCCTCCCGAGGTGGACTCACCCTGGGGGGAGCGTGTTAGACAGTTTTGTATGCCCTAAGCTTCAATCAGAATGATGTACTTTATGAGTTTATTGTAAATGAATAAAGATACATATTTGATTCAT